CAAACAAACAAACAAACAAAATCGTACAAAGCAATTATTTCTGTTTGGTATAAATGGTCCAAAACATTAGCCTCATTGTAAGGTCCACTTCGACCTTTGTTTTCGACCTCAGCGCAACAGATTGCGATGTTTATGAATCCATTCGAAAAGTTTCGCGACATTCCATTGAAAAAATTTTAAAATTATTTTCAAACGTTGACAAGTAAAAAATGGCCCGAGTCTTGTTACAGTTATCAAGGTGCATATACGCTTGTCACCACGCACTGCCATTTATCCACAGCTAGGTATCGTTCGTACAGTTTCCACAGTTGTTCTTCTAATCCTGGATATGTCGTGTAAGCAACTTGTGTACAAGTGACCTATTTTGCTTTTACAAATGGGTGTCCTTCTTGATTATGTTGTGTAATGTTGACTGGAACACGCTCTTTGTGCTCATAGATTATCCTAGACACCGCACTTTGCTTGCCACGGCTGGGGTACGACGTGTTGCAGGTCTCTTTCTGAATGGTCCTGGTACCCCATGTAATCCGAATTCCCTTGTTTTCCAAAATCATTAAATACATGGGAAATTTCCAGCTTGGAAATTCTAATTCAAAATCAGAACACACATATATGATCTAATTGTAAGAATATTTTGTGTTGGAAAGGGCTGTTACATACCTTTCTCAAAAAAGCTGTAAATTTCGGTGGCATCAAACGCCAAACAATATCAAAATGTAGATCTGATACATTCCGTTCCATCGCGACTTTACATCGGTTATGATTGTCACGTAGCTTGCTGATTTGCACATTCAAAATCATTTTAACTTAATGTACTCAATCCCCTGTATAGATATTTGCTTATAGTTACGTCACACTTTTCCACGCAGTCAGTAAGAGAACATAGCAGCAAATAGCGTTTTTTATGTTTTTCACAAGTAACAACACTCTGTTTCTCTTGAACGTATGTTTCCTTAATAGTATTACGTAATGTTTATAATAATTTTAATATTAATATTGTTAGATTATTGTTATTAATGCTGACACATTTATGCAGATCATTTTACTTTATTAACTTAATACTAGTAGAGACCCGCAAAACATTTGCGGTCAAACTAGTATATATAAATACAGGATTTTTAGAATAATACAAAATAATTCTAATCGCAAGCACCGAAAGCTATACGTCCACTTGTCTTAGGCCTAACATTAGTTAAGCCTTTATTAAGTTCGGCCTATATTCAATATAAATTAACGTTGTAGCTTTTGTAATTTTTTCTTTAGTTTAGTTAGGACTAAACTTTACCGTACGTAATAGTTATCAACAGATTACGGTAGATTACAGACAATTATGTGTGAAATCCAAATTTCTCTTGTGCCACATGAGTTTGGGACACAGTGACTGCTCCTTGGCACCTTTTGAATGTTTCATTTTATTTATACTTAATTTATTATGTGGCAGCGAACGTGTTGAGAAGTAAAATACCATATTAAGAAAAATCACTAAAAAAGATGTATTGTTTGTTTGTTTTGAATTTATGCACAAAGCTACACAATGGGCTATCTGTGCTCTGCCCACCACGGGTATCGAAACCTGGTTTCTAGCGTTGAAAGTCCGCAGACATACCGCTGTGCCATTGGGGAGCAGAAAAAAAAGATGTAACATATGC